TAGAAAAAGAGAAAAAGAGGAAGAACGTCATAATCCGACCCAGAATGACATGAGACTCGATGCAGTTCGCTTTCATTATGATAAGCCTTATCAGAGGAGACCAAGATGCTATCTCCGCGGACGTCATATTCAGCGATTGTTGGCATCACTTTATGTCTGTCTCTTCTCTCGTTCCCTGTCTCTCTCTCTCTCTCTTTCTCTTTCTCTCTCTTTCTCTGTCTCTGTCTGTCTCTCTCTGTCTCTCTCTTTCTCTGTCTCTTTGTCTCTGTCTCTGTCTCTCTGTCTCTCTCACTCTCTTTCTGTCTCTGTCTTTCCCTCTCTCTTTCTCTTTCTCAGTCTCTCCTTCCCCCTCTTTCTCTGTCTCTGTTTCTGTCTCTCTCTCTCTCTTTCTCTCTCTTTCTTTCTCTGTCACTCTCTCTCTCTCTCTTTCTCCTTTCGTTGCTTCCTTCCACCCTCCTTCCTTCCTTTCCTCCCTCCCTCTACCCTCCTCTCTCCCTCCCTCCTTCTCTCCTTCCCCCATTCCCCCTCTCTCATTCCCTCCTTCCCCCACCCTCCTTCCTTCCTCCCCCCTCCCTCCCCCCTTCCCTCCCTCCCATCCCACCTATCCCTCCCTCCCTGCCTCCTTCCCTCCCTCCCTCCCTCCCTCCCTCCTTCCCTCCCATCCCACGTATCCCTCCCTCCCTCCCTCCGTCCCTCCCTCCCTAAACTCCTTCCCCCCTACCCTCCCCCTCCCCCTCTCCCATCCCCCCTACCCTACCCTCCCTACCCTCCCCCTCTCCCATCCCATCTACCCCCCCTTCCCCCCTTCCCTCCCATCCCTCCTACCCTCCCTCCCTCCCGGTGAAAATAACACTCTGCCAAATCGCTTCCCTGTCGCAGCTCTTGTTAACAGGATATTTGTGTGTTTAACGTCTTTAAGTCGGTGTGAAGTCGCAATGGTCTAGTTATAAGGCAGCGTGGCTAAGAGGATAAAGAGGGAATGAAAAGAGGAGGAGAAGAAAGAGAAAGAGAAGGAAAATGATGATGAAAAGGAGGAGAAGGAGAAGGAAAATTATAATGAAAAGAAGGAGAAGGAGAATAATGATAAAGAGGAGGAGAAGGAGAAGGAGAATAATAATGAAAAGGAGGAGAAGGAGAATAATGATAAAGAGGAGGAGAAGGAGAAGGAGAATAATAATGAAAAGAAGGAGAAGGAGAAGGAGAATAATGATAAAGAGGAGGAGAAGGAGAAGGAGAATAATGATAAAGAGGAGGAGAAGGAGAAGGAGAATAATGATAAAGAGGAGGAGAAGGAGAAGGAAAATGATGATGAAAAGGAGGAGAAGGAGAAGGAGAATAATGATGATGAAAAGGAGGAGAAGGAGAAGGAAAATGATGATAAAGAGGAGGAGAAGGAGAAGGAGAATAATGATAAAGAGGAGGAGAAGGAGAAGGAGAATAATGATAAAGAGGAGGAGAAGGAGAAGGAGAATAATGATAAAGAGGAGGAGAAGGAGAAGGAGAATAATGATAAAGAGGAGGAGAAGGAGAAGGAGAATAATGATAAAGAGGAGGAGAAGGAGAAGGAGAATAATGATAAAGAGGAGGAGAAGGAGAAGGAAAATGATGATGAAAAGGAGGAGAAGGAGAAGGAGAATAATAATGAAAAGGAGGAGAAGGAGAAGGAGAATGATGATAAAGAGGAGGAGAAGGAGAAGGAGAATAATGATAAAGAGGAGGAGAAGGAGAAGGAGAATAATAATGAAAAGGAGGAGAAGGAGAAGGAGAATAATGATAAGGAGAAGGAGAAGGAGACTAAGAAGGAGAAAGAGAAAGAGAAAGAGAAAGAGAAGGAGAAGGAGAAGAAGGAGAAGGAAAATAATGATGAAAAAAGGAGAAGGAAAAGGAGAATAATGATGAAAAGAAGGCGAAGGAGAATAATGGGAAGGAGAAGGAAGAGGAGAATAATAAAAAGGAGAAGGAGAAGAAAGTTGATAATAAGGAGAAGGAGAGGGAGAATAATAATGCTAAGAAGAGAGAATTATAATAATCTTAATGACATAAAGAAAGGGTTGAAGGAGAAGAAGAAGAAAAGAGAAATGTAAGAAAGAGAGGAATGACAAGAAGGGAGAAATATACAAAGGAGGAGAATAAAAAGAAAAAGAAAAGAGAAATAAAAAAAATATAAAAAAATATATAAAAAGCAGAAGAAAAAGGAAAGATATAGAAAAGATGATGAATAAAAAGAGGTGAATAAAAAATAAGAAGAAAAGGAATGTAAAGAGAAGGTACTCAGAAAGAATTAAAAAAAAACAAAAAAACACAATTACCCAGTCCCCCCCCCAAAAAAAAAAAAAAGAGAGAGAGAAAGATAAAAAAAAAATAAATAAATAAAAGTGATATAATCCTGACAAGAAACTTTATTTACAAACTCGTCCGTTGCATTTCAGCGTTGACCTTTTTTTTTTCATTTCATCTTTTTTTCTTTCTTTTTCTTTTTCTTTTTTGAAGAAGGGTGTGTGTATGTATATGTGTGGGGGGGGAGAGGGGGGTAGTTAGGGGTGTGGGGGGGCAAGCAGCAGTAGGGGGGGGGTTGTATGAGGAGAATCTCTGTGTCTGATCTTGACATGACAGAGAAAAATGACAGGGCAACACTGTGAGGGCCTGTTGAGGTGTTGCAATTATGTGCTTAGGTGGATATCGGCGTGACTTTTGATGCGGCGTGACGGGGTTCATCTTTGTTTGTTTGTTTGATTGTTTGGTTGGTTCTGGTTGGTTTTGGTTGGTTCTGGTTTGTTCTGGTTGGTTATATTTGGTTCTGGGTGGTTTTGGTTTGGTTCTATTTGGTTCTGGTTGGTTCTGTTTGGTTCTGGTTGGTTCTGTTTGGTTCTGGTTGGTTCTGGTTGGCTTTGGTTTGGTTCTATTTGGTTTTGGTTGGTTCTGTTTGGTTCTGGTTGGTTCTGGTTGGCTTTGGTTTGGTTCTATTTGGTTTTGGTTGGTTCTGTTTGGTTCTGGTTGGTTCTGTTTGGTTCTGGTTGGTTCTGATTGGCTTTGGTTTGGTTCTATTTGGTTTTGGTTGGTTCTGTTTGGTTCTGGTTGGTTCTGGTTGGCTTTGGTTTGGTTCTATTTGGTTTTGGTTGGTTCTGTTTGGGCCTGGTTGGTTCTGGTTTGGTTCTACTTGGTTTGGGTTGGTTCTGTTTGGTCCTGGTTGGCTTTGGTTTGGTTCTACTTGGTTTGGGTTGGTTCTGTTTGGTCCTGGTTGGTTCTATATGTCTGTTTCTCTTTCTCTGTTTGTTTCTGTATATCTGTTTCTTCTCTGTTTCTTTCTCTCTCTCCCCTTCTCTCTCTCTTTTCTCTCTCTTAGTCTGTCTCTGTCTCTTTCTCTCCTTCTCTCTCTTTCTTTCACTTTGTCTGTCTGTCTGTCTGTGTGTCTGTCTGTGTGTCTGTCTGTGTGTCTGTCTGTCTCTCTCTCTCTCTCTCTCTCTCTCTCTCTCTGTCTCTCTCTTTCTGTGTGTATTTCTCTCTGTCAGTCTACATATCTGCCTGTCTGTCGGTATGTCTGTCTGTCTCTATTTCCTATGTATAGAGGCTATATTTGTTACAGTTTTCTACAGAAGGCCGGGAGTTGGGGGGGGGGGGTTGACCAACGTTTTTTTAAATGTCATTTATGATGAACGTTTCCTTATCATGTGTTTTTTTAAATCATCAATATCTATTTCAAATACGTTAGTAGATAAAAAAGTGGATATTGACGATTTGATTAACAAGTGGAGAATTCAGCTTAATCTAATGATTAATTTGATGAATAATGATTTATTAATTTGATGTTAGAATTAACTTAATATATAAGATTAATGTTTTGTAGTTATTTACTGCCAGATTCATTAAAGGACGTTTTCGAAATAGCTTCCTGTCCCTTTTTAAAACCACTCATGAAACGTTAGTATAAATATCAGTAAAATTAAGCGTGAAAATCTCACCCTTTTTCATTTTTTTAAAAAATGTTTTCCTTCTACTTATTTTTTTTTTCTTTTTTCTTTTATTTTTATTCACTTTTCGCATTTCCCTTTTTTTCCCTCTAGCCTTTTTTTCGGGCTACTTTAGAGTTCACGCTCCCTCCCCCCCCCCCCCCCTCCCCCTCCCCCCTCCATTTACCTCTGGGAAACTACTTATGATATGATTGCGGCCTAAATAGCGTGGCTGATCATCTGGGTACGGGCTTTGGCTCCTCCCACCGCGTGGCACAGTGCCAAGGGGGCGGAGCTTCAGCTAACGCTTGACCAATCACAGGCCTCCGTCTCGGGCTCGAGGTTCAACCCCTTTTAGTGCATGTTGTCCTTGTAATATATATTATTTTCTTTGCGTAAATTAGGGTTGAATTAATTGAGAATTGCGAAATAATAGTCGGGATTTTTATCTGTGGAGAAAAGGATGAAGCATCCCCCGTGGTGAGCTTGGAAAGAGGTTGTGCCCCAGTGCCAAGGCAGGGAGAGGGGCGGAGCCAGCGGTGCCAAAGCGCCATTCGATGGGCACTCTCTGGCCCTCTGCCCTCCTCCTCCCCCTCCCCTTCCCCCTCCCCCCTGCAACACTCGCTTACGTTTCCTTAAGTAGCAAGAATGGCAGTACCGACCCGCGGCTGCGAGGACCTGCATGCGAGACCGCCTACCTTTCCCGGTCGCCGAGACGAACGAGAAGAAGAAGAAGAAGGAGGAGAAGAAGGGGAAAGAAAAGGCTCTCGAGGCTTCCCCGAAATCCCCGTCCGCTCACCTGAGAGCTGCAGAAGCGTCGTTCAGGGCGAGTGCGCGCGCCAAGAGCCGCGAAGGGGATGCCGAAGGGCCCCTGATTATGCCCGGAGCCGCGTCCCCTTCGGGTCCGAGAAGCGCTTGCTCTCCGCGCCTCAAGCTCGTCGGGAAGCGCGTCTCCCGAGGCCGCGGCGGGGGGCGGGCTCCTGCTGAGTCTTCTGCGCCTCATGTCTCGCTCCTTCCTGATCCGGGACCTCCTGTGGGGGCCTGAAGGCCGCGATGAGGACGCCAAGGAGGTCGGACTCGACCTGACGACGCGCGCCGCCGACCCGCAGGAGGCCGAGGGGCGCGGGGTCGAGGCTTCGCGAACGTCGACTGAGGGGCGTCGGCCGGGTGGGGACTGCTCCGAGGGCGCCGCGAGCGCCGACGACGCGGGGGAAGCGTCGGCGTCGAAGGGCGTCGCGGCGGCCGGCGCGGAGGGCCTCGACGGGGGAGCCGATCCCCAGGGCTTCCCGAGCGACCGCCACCGCCGCTTCCTGCTGTTCCCTCGGGCCGCCTTCCCCGACGCTGCGCCCCCCTCCCGCTCGCCCCAGGCCGCCCTCGGCGCCGACCGCTCCCCCGCGGCGGCGTCTGTGTCCCCCCCGCCGTCGCCTCCGCTCCTCCAGCAATCGCCGCGGCCGCAGGGGCTGCCCGCCCTCGCCCACCACGCCTACGCCCGCGGCCTGCAGGGCAAGGGCCTCGGCTGCGGCTTCGGCGACGTCAGGAGGTTCCTGCCCGTGCCCGGCGGGGGGGCGCGGCCGGTGTACGGGCCCGTGCCGCTGATGGGCGCCGTGCCTCACGCGCCCGCGCCGCACCACCACCACCCGCACTACCTGTGGGCGGCGCAGTACTCCTCGCTCTTGTCGGCGCTTCCGCTGCAAGGTAGGGGCGGACTCAGGTACATATATATACATATATATGCACACACACACACACACACACACACATGTATATATATATATATATATATATATATATATATATATATATATATATATATATATATATATATATATATATATATACTCATGTACATATACATACATGTATATGCATATATATGTATATATATATATATATATATATATATATATATATATATATATATATATATATATATATATATATATATATGTATATATATATATATATATATATATATATATATATATATATATATATATATATATATATATTATACATACACATATATACATATATATGCATATAATTGTATCAACATATAATTTTGTTATAAGTACACACAATGTAACATATTCTAAATATAGTTTCCATAGAATTTTTTTTATCATAAGTGTTATATTAGTAATATTCTTATCATTATCCTTATTGTTATTATCATTATTATTATTATCATTATCATTATTACTAGTGTTATTATTACTATTAACATTATTATCATTGTTTTTATCATTATCATTGTTTTTATCATTATCATTGTTATCATTATTATTGTTGTTATTATTATTATTGTTGTTATTATTAATGCCATTATTATCATCATTATCATTATCATTGTTATATCATCACCATCATTATTTCCATTACCATGAACATAATTAACACTACTACTAGTACTACAATAGTAATACTGTTTTTATCATTATCATTATGAATATCATTATTGTTGTTATTATCATCATTGATATGATTTTCCCAATTACTATTAGTACTATCGTTATCAGTATCATTTTATTGTGATTACTATTATCATCATCATTATAATTATCATTATTATTATTTTTATCATTATTATTATTATTATCGGCATTATTGTTATTATCATTATTATTATTCTATTATCATTAATATTATCGATCTCATTATTATTATCATTATCATCTTTACCTTAATCTTATTCTTAATCATATTTTATTATCATTATTTATAACCGTCTTGTTATTATTATTAACATCATTATTATTATCTTTACATTATGATTGATATTACTTTTTTACTATTATCCTTAATATTATCATAATCATTATTCTGATTATTATCATTACTATTATTATTATCATCATCATCATTAATATCACTATCAATATCACTACAATTCATTATCGCTATTATTGTTACCACGATCGTTACCATTATTAATACTATCATTACCGTTATTATCGCTATCACTAATGTTATCACTACCATCCTCAGGAGTTCATTAAATCACTAATTTCAGAAATGTGTATGTTTTGTTTTATACATATACTTGTAAGCCAGAATATCGTGCAGAGTCGTATATAGTGTTAGGGTATAGTGGGCCACGTCTGTACTGAATTAGTATTGGTATATAAATGAAAATAGTATATGCTAAAACTACCTAAAGTCGTGGATTATGTGATATGAATCTTATGTAATGGGGAAGTGTCTGTTGGTAAGGTATAGCGTCTGAATTGTAACTGTGTGAAATGTGTATCAAAGTCCTGTTCTTCATTTTGTGTTCTTGTTTTATTATCATTGTTTTTTTTTAAGTTGTGACCAGATGAATCAAAGCTGTGAGAATATTATTATTAGCTAGATCAATTTCAACTGTAATGTTTAGCCGCGGCCAGATCAACTTCAACTGTAATAATACTGACTACAACTGTAACCAGATTAATATAAGCTGTAAATGCACTAATTTTAGCTAAGACCAGATTGATAATTAGCTGTTGCCAGATTAACCTTAGCTGTATCAACACTAATTTTAGCTGAAACCAGATTAATAATTAGCTGAAATCAGATTAATTTCAGCTGTAGCCAGATTAATCTTAGCTGTATCAACTGTATCAAATTTATCAACTTATTAATTTATCAATTTATTAAATTTATCAACTTATTAATTTATTAATTTATCAAATTTATCAACTTATTAATCTTAGCTGTATCAACTGTATCAGCTGTATCAAATTTCATCCATAACAACACTCCTATCAGCTACGACCTCGACTGTTTTAGCTTTCTTTTCGCTGACACGAACCTACCGACAATGTAAACGAATTATGAATGAGGAGAAGTAATTATACAATAGAAGAAAATCGGCTGATATTTCGATATTGCAAATTGCGATATTCCCGGTAGGAAGGTTAGTATATTTCTGATGAAGACAGAGAAGCGAATTGTTAATTATATATCCTTTATTGTGAAAATTTGCTCCCACTTCACACCTTACGAACAGCCGTCCTAACGCGCTTTGTTTACATCAATTCTAAATTCTTTTTTTTCAATAATGATAATACTGATGATGATAATAATGGTAGTAATGATAATAGTTATAACAATATTAGTGATAGTAATAATAATAATGATGATAATAATGATGATAATGGTAATAGTAATAATGATAACAATGATTATGGTACTTATACTGATGATAATGATAATGATGATAATGATAATTAGGATAATATCAGTAATAATGATGCTAATGATAATGATGATAATGATAATTAGGATAATATCAGTAATAATGATGCTAATGATAATGATATTCTTATCTTTAACAATAATGATAACAACGATGGTAAGAAGCAATGTAATAATAGTGATAAAAATAACAAAAGTAGTAGCAGTGATAATAATAATGATAATAATAATAATAGTAATGATAATAATAATGATGGTGATGATAATAATAATAATATTAATATTAATTATAGTAATAATAATAATAATAATAATAATAATAATAATAATAATAATAATAATGATAATAATAATAATGATAATGGTAATAATAATGATAATGATAATTATAATAATGATGATAATAATAATAACAACAATAATGGTAATAACAATGATAACAACAACAATAATAGTATATAATAATAATAATAATAATAATAATAATAATAATGATAATAATAATAATAATGATAATAATAATAATAATAATAATAATAATAATAATGATAATAATAATAATAATAATAATAATAATAATAATAATAATAATAATAATAATAATAATAATAATAATGATGATGATGATAATAATAATAACAATAATAATGGTAATAACAGTGATAGCAACAACAGGAACAATAATACAAAATAATAATATTAATGATATTGATAATAGCCATAACGATAATAGCAGTAGTAGTAGTGATAATGATAATGATAATGATAATGACAATGACGAAAATGATAATGATAATAATAAAAAAAAAAATACAAAAACAAAAACAAAAAACACGCACCGTCGCCGTCATCTCGATCGTCATTTTTTTTTTTTTTTAAGGGCTACAGCTGTTGTTGTTATTGTTATGGTTGTTGTTGACATTCTGATGTCATGTTAAGTGAATCCTGAGGCATGTAGGAGGAAGGGGAGGAAGAGGGGGGGGTGGAGGAGAAAGGGAGGAGAAGGAGGAAGGGGAGGAAGGGGAGGAAGAGGGGGGGGGGGAGGAAAGGAAAGGGAGAGAGTAGGAGGAGGAGGAGGAGGAGGAGGAGAAGGAGGGGGTGGAGGAGGAAGGGGAGGAAGGGAGAAGGAGGAGGAGGAGGAGGAGGGGGGGAAGGAGAAGGAAGAGAAGAAGAACGGAATGGAAGAGGAAGAGGAGGAATAAAAGAAGGAGGAGGAGGAGGAGGAAAACAGGAAGCGAGTAGAAGCGACAGAAGGAAGATAAAAAAAAAAATAATGATAATAATATTGATGGTAACAATAATGAGAATAATGAATTATAGTAACATCAATGATAATAACGATGATGATAGTCTTAATGATGCTAATGAGGACATTTATATGAATAACATAAAAAAATTATAACACTAATAATTATAATGCTACCGATACTATCAATGATACTTATAATAATAGTAATAGTAATAACGGTACTAATGATAATAATAACAACAACAACAATAACGATGATAATGATAATAATATTAGTAATAATGCTATTACTACTACTACTACTAATACCAGTGTCGATATTAAAATACTAATGATGAAAGTAATTATATCAGTAATGAAAAAAAAAATGGTGTTAAGAATGATAATATTAAAGATAATTAATGATAATTGTAACTGTAAACATACAATTACTATCAATAAAAACAAAGGAAAATATTTATGAAAATACCACGAAATTGTAACTAACAACACTTAACAACAACAGATAATCAACAACATGTATAATTTCAAAACAAACAAGCAAACAAAGAAATAGATGAAAAGACAAGAGCAAGAAAAAGAAAGGAAAAAAAATATAATGAATAAAAAGAAAATATAAATAACAGTAAATAGAATAGAATAAGTAAACAAAATTAATTACAATGAATTAATATAAGAAGAAATAATAATAAATAATAAAAATAAAAAATGAATAAATAATGTATATATATATATATATATATATATATATATATATATATATATATATATATATATATATATATATATATATACATATATACATACATATATTGTTATCATTGTTTCTCGTTCCATTTTCGATCACGAAATTAACTGCATAATAATGAAACTGCTTAAAACAGAAATACAAAAAGAAAATATCAATAATTAAGAATAAGATATTGGATAACATAGGATATTGGTGTTATTGATGGTAATTATGACAATGGTGATGATCATAATTAAGACAAATGATAACGATGATATTGATATTAGTGATGATGATGATGGTAGGGTGATGGTGATGGTGAAAGTGATAATGATAATGATGAGTAAAGAAAACCGCAAGGAGGATTGTGGCATTAAGGAAGATGATAGCAAGAACAATGGTAATGATAATGATAATGATAATAATAATAATGATAATAATAATAATAATAATAATAGTAATAATAATAACATTAATAACAATAATAATGGTAGTAATAAAAATAACGACGATGTTGATAATAATAATAATAGTAATAATGATAATAATAATAATAATAATAATAATAATAATAATAATTATAATAATAATAATAATAATGATAATAATGATAATGATAATAATGATAACAATAATAATAATAATAATAATAATAATAATAATAATAAAATAATAATAATAATAATAATAATAATAATAATAATAATGATAATAATATTAATGATAACAGTAATAATAATGATAATAACAATAATGATAATAATCATAATAATGGTAATGATAACAACAACAATAATAATATTGATAATAAGAACAATAATGATTATAGAAAAAAATAAAAGGATAATAATAACAATAAGAGTAATGATGATAAAAAATAATGATGATGATAATGATAATAATAATAATAAAAATAATAATGATGATGATAATGATGATAATAATAATAATAATAATGATAATAGTAAGAATAACAACAGCAACAATAACAACAATAATAATAATATTATTGATAATAATAATAATAATGATAATAATACAAATAATAATAAGATAGTGATAATAATGATAATAACAGTAAATATAAGAACAACTATGATGATAATAATGATAATAATAATAATCATAACCATAATAATAATGATGATAATTATAATAATAACAATGATGATAATATTGATGGTGATGAAAACAAAAACAACAATGATAACAATAATGATAATGAATACGACAATATTAATAATGATAATGATAATAATACAAATAAAATAGTAATAACAATAAAAGTAATAACGATAGTAATGATAATGATAATGATACGATAGTGATAATAATAATAATAACACAATTATCACAAGAGTAAAGTCAGTGTTAATGATCTCAAAATATTGCTATTAATACCACTAGTAATGCACTTGAAAAAAAATACCTTTTGAAAATAATCATGATAGTAATATTCAGAATATTATATACCAATATTCAAAAGCCAAAGTACAGTAGCAGGCAGTCTAGAATTCACTGCATAAATTTACGCGCTGTATTTCTGTCAGTGAAAACCGCCGGCTTATGACACAGTCGGCACGCATTAACACATGACACCGGCGTTCGGCACGGGTGGCAGTGACAACACCTAGGGTAATTGGTGTCAGAAATGGGGCTAAAATCGCACTTAACTGAGGCAGTGAGGGGAGGGGGGTGTTGGTAGTTAATAGTTCAGTTGGCATAAATAACTAACAGTGATAATCGTCAGTGTCTTGGCTGAGACGGTATTTTTTTGGTAGGTGGTGAGAGAGTGGAATGGAAATAGTTATAGTGATGGTGATAATGACTCATATTTTACTGTTATTGCGCCTGTTGTTTGTAAAGTTAGTGGTGATGGTGTAAAAGCGGTGATAATGATGATAATGATGATGAAAATGAGGATAATGTTGGCCTGTCTTTGAATCGTAAGTTCATCGATGTTCGAAAGCGAAAATCGGGGAAGACAAAGGAATGAAATAATTAACATGAGAAAGAGAAAATGAAAAAAAAACATCTAAAGTAGAAAGAAAGAAAGAAAGAAGAAAGAGCTAAAACCCTCCAAAAAATGTCGAAATTCGGAAAATCAGAAAGCAAGCGAGAAAGAAAAACACACATTTTGAAATCTAAAGTGCGGCGGAGGGTGACGCGGGCAGGCAGGTCGGCCGAGAGTATCTCAGGCCGCGAAGTAACCCGAAACGCTACTCAATTATAGGCGAAAATTAGAGGGATTACGCCTACAAAAAGACCCTTATTGGATGCTCTAAGGAGGGTGTGGTATGTATATACAATGTGGGTGTATACAAGTACTCTAAACGACTAAAGTTTCAACTGAGATCGGAGCGAAGATAGTGGTTATAACTGACCGTCTGTCGGG